GTATAGAGCCAAAGATGTTAGGATTGTGTCGATGTCCCAATATTTCTGGACCTGACTGTAAATGGTCTGCACATATCTCCCTCCTCTATTTTGGATTTTTTTTTTTTTTTGTCATGTTTACTTCACTAAAAGGATGTTACTTTATTAAAAAAATGTTAGGTATTCAGTTCTGTTTTTTTTTTAATTTTTGTAGATTCTGCTGAGCTTGTTTGTTGCTGTAATTCTAGACAACTTGGAACTTGATGAAGATCTAAAGAAACTTAAACAAGTAAGGTTGTTCATGTTGAATGTTATTTACACCAAAGCCATACTGTGATGTGTTCTCATCTCTCTTGAAAATGTAGATGCCAACATTATCTTCAGAAAGTAAAATAAGTAAGAGATGTGTATAGTTTACTAAAACCTGAAATGCCCAAATATTAAAGATCAGTTGAAGAGGCGGGGGGTGGATCATCCTATGATTATATATAAAGTATTTGTTCAGCATTCAACAATTCATTCTTAATGGTGTTTAGCCCAACACCATATTTATCCAAATAATTACCTGAGAATCCAGGTGAGAGTATCATTTTACATTTCCTAAGTAACATAAGCACGGTGCACATGGAAGGACAGACTGCCTGAGCAGACTATGAGCACTTGTGCTCCTTCCTCCCCCTCCTTTTCTTGCCCTCCCCCATCGTCAGGACGACCCAGCTGCCAATCAAACAGCAATGTAGGGCAGCAGGAAGGGAGGCAAGATGGCTACCTGGGAGCTCTGCAGCTACAGGCTGCATGAGGAATAAACAGAGCCAAGGCCCAGGAGTAAAAATAAAGTGAAAAATTAAAAGAGAGACAGCCCTGCTGAGGAAGAGGCAACAGGAAAGGAGGCAGCCACTGAGAAAACTAGGGAGAGGGAGGCGTTTTTTCCTTCCCTTGGAGCTGGCGGAGGTAAATGTTCTCCAGCCATTTCCCTCATCTGGAACCAAGGTTGGGAAGAGGAGAAGCCCAGCCAGGAGCAAACAAGCAGAAGGGCAAAGAAAAAGTCAAGACTTTGACAGGACAGAAACCGAAACAGAAACAAAAAGAGAAAAGGCAGATCAAATTCTGTAGAAAAAGGAGTATAGGAGGGAGAATAAAGATATACAGGGATTACGACAACAGAAATAGGTCAGCAATCAACAAATGTATTAGAGATATAGAATAGAAAGATGTGAAAATATAGTGAAATTGAACTTTAAAGAACGTAGTGTAGATACAGAACCTATAGAAAATAGTTAAAATAGAATATAAGTTGTATTAAGATAAATTTCTGCACTAGTTAAAGGTGTTTATAATTTACCATTCTTCCTTTTTCTTTTTCTGGTAAGCTTTCCTTTTGTAAAATAAAAGTCCCCCTTCCAACTAACTGTACAAGTTTCCAGTTCTTTGTGTCTATTGAGCCTGGGTCAATTTGGTTATTGATGGTTCAAAAAGGAACCTGTGACAGTTCAGAAACCTGCTTGAAAACATAGATGCTTTTGAAGAAAAGCCTTGTCTCATGATTAGCAAAGTAAGCAGAAGATTTTGATTGATTGATTGATTGATTGATTAAATTTGTGTGCCACTTACCCCCAATAACTGGGCAGCTCACAAGTAAAAAACATTTTAAAATTATGTATGGCACCTTTTATTTCCCAAGTCTCAATAA